AGTCCAAAGCCTTCCAACCTCATCTCAGCCTCATACAGATGATGCTGACAACAAATTCTGGCAGCTCTACTATAATTGGAGAGCTTGGAAAGTTGGAAATTCAGAAGAGCAACTGTTGGATTGGGACCAACAGCTGAAGAATGAAAAGATTATCAAGAAATGCCTAGGACTACCAGTCAACCACTGCTGTGAAGACATCTTGGATGACTACTGGGTATGGCAAAGGAACAATGAGGATCTGCATCTGGAACACTTGGCCACTACACCAGTTTCAGACTTTGAAGCAGACGATGAAGATACTGCAGTCTACAAGCCAGTCTTCTCAAAAGCCACAGAAGATCAAATGGCTCCCACTTCTGAAGAAATAGCTGTTTTGGAAACAACAGCTAAGGATTTCCCTATCTTTCCGGAAACCTCACCTGCATTTGAAATGGTTCTGACTGAAACTGTTCAAGAGAAGGCAGCCTCTCCCCCACAAGAGCAGAACCAGGAAGCAACTGAAGAAGAAGAATTTCAGCGACTGATCCAATCTCAAGTGCTCGAGATCCTCACAACTCTTTGTGAGATCTCCAATAAGACACAACTTGAGATTCTGGAAAAGTCAGCAGAAATTCCGGAACAGTCAGCTATTCCAGAAATTATGGAGAAAGAAGTAGAAGTCCAAAGGCACTCTGGAAAAGCTGAGAAGGAATCTCAGATGGCAGAAGAGGAGGTCTCTCAAACTCCAATAGCCATTTTTGAAGAACCAAATGAAGCTGTAGATAGTGACTCCCTCTCCAGATACATATCAAATTTTGAACTTGATAATGCAGAAGGAGAATCTGAGAGGACACTAAAGATCACTGATGAAGAAGATGTGCAAGAACATGCTGAATCTCTTCCTTTGCAACTCTTTCAAAGGACATCATCTCCTCATCAGGTAACACATTTTCACTTCCATAGCTCTTCCACTCCTACTCTTCCGGATGAAATACCGGAAACCTGGACAAAGAAGGTACAAGGGCTGATTGAGTCAGCCCTAGCATCTCAACATGCCTCCTTTAGGCGAGAGATAGAGCTAATGGAAGCCAAACACACTGAGCTGATAAAGAAATCTGAAGAGAAACACAGCGCTAATCTCAAGGAGATAAGTAAATCAGTAAAAAAGACTCTAGAGATCATCTCTCTACTGAGTAAAACTGTGAGCAATACGATGGAAATATACACCTCTGACAGTCAACTGCAATTCAATGAATTCAACAAAGTCAAGGAGCAAATAGCAAATGTTACAGTTAGTCTACAAAAACAGATGTCCCTTCTCCAAATGGACATCAGATCAGCCCTAGCTATAGCTTCAGCAAATTAGGTAGTAACCAAAGACTACTTGAAGGTGATCATTGACAATCAAAAGGAAGCATACAAGCTGTTCAGACTTATTGGTGCACATTCTGGGAACCGCAAGATGGAAGTAATTCTCCAACAACACAGTCCATCTCCAATACCACAGCTCCCTATTGCAGTCAACGAAGGAGAAGCATCTTATGTCCCTTCTCATCTGCACATGACTAATCTGATCCTTGAAGCACAGCAAATAAATCCGGAAAACTCAGCACATCACTTATCCAGCTCAGGACTGGATGGAACAGAATTTATAGGTGCAGTTGCTGACCACTTCTCAGATGCTACTCAAACAGAGGAAAGGCGTGAAAACTTAAGGCGCATCAAAGAAGTGTGTGGGAACATGCAGGCCATCAGTGAAGTTGCCGGATCTTCAAAACGCAAAAGGAACTGAAGGTTCTTTTCATCAAACAAGGGGGAAAGTATGTGAAAACATTTGTTTTGATGAAAACACCTTCTTGTTTAAACATTGCTTGATTGGTTTAAACATTGCTTAAGTATGCCTTAATTGCGCTTATTATGCTTGATTATGCTTATCTCAAGTATGATTCTTATCTCAAGTATGATTTTGTCTTAATTTTTTTTTCTTCTAAAGCGCATATATTCAGGGGGAATGTATCTCAGGGGGAACTTAACTAGTTTTGGCTAACAATTGTTTTTGGCAATGAATTATCGATAAGCTCAAAGAAATGGAAGACGGATATCTCAGTTTTAGTACTAAAGTTGGAAATCTTTGGAAATCTCCGATTCAGGTACCTTACAAAATCTGCCTTCTTAAACTAAGCTTTAGTCCTTAATTCATTTCCAACCAGCTCTAAAAGTACTGGTCCCTAGGATGTTTAAAAATGTACAGGACTTTGGAAAAATAGTACCATTTGTCTTTTTAAATATTCATATTTGTTTTGGTGCTACCTCGTCCTAAGTAGAAGTTAGAACTATAGGGAATGAAAAATGATAGTCTTATTTTGGGCCTTGAGAACCCAATAGGAATAATTTCCCTTTAGTACATAGCTTTCTTTTCTTTTTGGGCCACTCTTTTGGGCTTAACCAAACTAAAACAGTTACGTTTCTCAAACCAATCGAAACTGATTTTCAAATTAATTCAATTCCTTGGTAACTGGTAAAAGATTCCTTTTGCTTTTCAACTTCTTGGAAGTTGAAACTCCTTTACTCCCACCGTTCCAACTACCCACTTAATGGAACCTATGAACCTCCTCCTCCCCTATTTAAATCAAGATATCTCAATCCACTTTCATCACAAACAACTCTCCCAATATGAAAAGTCTTCAAACTCACTGTCTAAGGAATACACCAAGAAAAATATCCTCAATGGAGAAACTTTTCTTTCTCACCCTCATAGATGGCAATGGAAGAAGTCTATTGAGAAGAAAAGACTTTTAAGGTCTATGGTGAAAATCTCGGCAGTAGAGAAGGTCTATGGTGGAAATCTCGTAGTTTTCAGTATTAGACCATACACCTTCTCTGGAACAACACTCTCTATTTTTTTTGAGAGATGTGTTGCTTCCAAGATCTTGAATATCCACTTTGGATATTAAAGATCTATCAAACGCAACGCCAACTGCTCAGCCAAGCAGAATCTGCTGAAGCTGAAAACAGTCAAGGCGGAAGAGATCACAAAATCTCAAGACAAAAACTTGGTTTAGGAATTATTGTAATTTGAATTGTATTTGTTTAAGAGTTTTTGTTAACAAGCTGTATATTATGAGAAACAAAAAGAAAGTTATAAAATTAGTTCTCAGTACAGCGACCGGAACTCTTAAACACTTGTTTGTCATCATCAAAAAGGGGGAAATTGTTGGGAAAAATATTATAGATTTTGATGATGATATATCTAGAATGTAATAGGGACTTTAAAGCCCCACCCCCCCCCCAATATTCAATGTAATTTTTCTTTTTAGAAATATTGTCAAAACCAAGCTCTTGAGATTTCCAATAAAACTGTGATATTTCTTTAAGCGTTTTGATGCCTGAAGACTTGATCAAATTCAGTGATATGAAAATTGGATATCTTGATCGGAAGTGTCAGAGACAAGTAAGGATTTCTAAATCAGATAAAAATCCTCAGATCCGGAAGACTACATAAGAACCGGATGTCTCGCTACAACCCGCTGAAGGCTAAGTCATTCAAATCGGAAGACTAGCGCGGATCTCCTTCTCACCCGGAAGTCTGAAAAAGACTCATCCGGATTTGTCAGCTAAGAATCGGAAGACTCGCCGAAGACCGGAATTCTCAGAAAGCGGACAAGTGAGAAAAGGCTTAGAAAATCATATAAGTCCTGAATGAAGAAATTCTACCCGTGGCAAGGAAAAATCAATCTCTTGATTTTCAACGGCTAGATTGAAGATAATTAGGCTGATTCAAGAACAAATTACTCGAAGACAAAGTCTGGGTCTCTAAAATTAAAGAGCCTGCCCAGAATTCCTAAACAAGCACTAGAAGACAAACAGAGTAAAGTGCTACGGTCTTGAATTCTTGAACAACGGCTAGAAGACGGATTTTGGGGAATCCTTTCTCAACAATTGGGTAAGTCCAAACACCCACTTCAACGAAGAATCTTCAAATCACAATCTTCATTCAAAATTGAAGCCAGCAAATGCAACGGATAGTCCATTTTAATTCAACGGATAGATTATCCAATCCAGCTATAAATAGCATCCTTGGAAGACTG